AGGACACCTGACCAAAGAGCCATTCACACCACCAACCACAGTGGCTGCAGGGTGGCCTTCTTTGCCATTTGCTCTCTAAATGCTCCAAAGTCAAGGAATCATCAGACCTAACTAAGGGGACAGAAGCCTTAGACTCAGAGTGTGGAGACAGCTTGCTGCTCTTATATGGCACCTGGGCAGAAGCAGGGAGGCACATGGGGCAAGGGGGTGGGGGAGAGAGACCTGACCATCCCTAGGAACAGTTGGGTCCCTGAGGAATGCTGATGTATTTTCCAGCAGGGAATGTGTGCAGAGTGACCCTGCCTAGATGTCCAGAAGCCTCTGTGTCTATGCTGTGACTCTGAGGCCTAGAGCCAGCCCTCTTTATGTAGAAGAATCTGTTCTGGAAATATCTGTCCTAAGCACTCGATGACACAGTGGGGACCTGAAAGCAACTGAGGCAAGAGGGATGATGGTCAGCCCCTCCCAGGTGGAGTCTTGTTTCTCAGCAGATGCTGATCCAGAGTGTACACCTAGGGACCAAGGTGGATGCTTCTCCAAGCCCCTTGTGGGCAGGTGTTGCCAGGGGAGCATGGAGTGACTTGCAAGTTTCCACTAGACCAAGGGTCAGGCCCAGGCTGGGTCCCCCCACCGCATAGGACCCCATCTGTTATGGAACATGCACACTGACTCCCATCCATCCATCCCTGGAGGCCCTACAAAATGCCTAGCACTGGGCCCAGCTGGTTTCTCTATGCCATGGGCACACATCTGCCTGAGGGCCTCTTCCTTACCTTTAGGTCAGGGGCCTGCTTTCTGCCCCTCATAGCAGCCACACCTTCATGATGTGAGGGTAAAGGCAAACAAAGAAGCCGCCAAGAAGTTGTAGAGAGTACAAGCCATGCAGCAGGGTCTAAATCCAGCTCTCTCCCAGCACCGCATCCTTGGCCCAGCCCCTGGGCACTGGCAGCATCCCAGTTGTGCCACTCGGGCCTGCCACTTGTGCAGCTTGCATCCTCCCTGCATGTGCTACGGGCGTGCTGTTCCTTTGCCTCTCCTTCCATGGAAACCAAAAATAGCCCATGGGGTCCAAAGGGTCATTGGCTAGATCCCAGAAAGCGGTTCCAGGGCCTGGCCTCCAGGGCAGAGGAGGGATGGGGAGAGGCCTTGGCTAGGCACATGCCCACAGTATTCTGGGCAGCTCAGCCTGTGTGAGTGCAGCTCTCCCCAGCACCATGCTCCATAGGGAAGGAGAGTGTTGCCATACCCCCAGCTGTCCTCTGGCATGAATTTGGGGGGTTTTTGGGGGGGTTTTTTTGAGTTGGAGTCTTACTCTGTCGCCCAGACTGGAGTGCAATGGCCGCTCCTGGCCACCGCAGCCTCGA